TTTAAAAATAAATTCAATCAGCTGCTAGATTTGAGAATAACGACCTAAATATTTTATTGAGTACCAGCTAATATGTACGAAATTTTCGTTAACATTGTTTGTTATTTTTTGGAGATTTTTATACGCCGAAGATTTAGTGATACTCCTCACTGGCAAATTCCTGTCAACGATAAGTGAACTAATGTAGAGTGCACTAGGTGATATATTTCAGTTGATCAAAAAGAATGGATTGCGGGTTAACCCCTAGTATAGGTATTTTTTATAAGGACAACAAAAGTATCCACGATCTCTCTACCGAAATTAGGGGAAACTACTTTGAAACTGTCCTCCGTTGAAAAGTTCCTCGTACTCTCTAGCAGCATACAACACGTTCAATAGCACCTTTGGAATGCAACGGGGACTATCACCGTAAGTCACCTGTGGGATATACACCACAGTCGTCAGACCAATTGCAACCCACGGGTCCCTAGTATGGTGGTGGGCAGCGCACCTCAGGAATGCCGTAACATAATATTTCACCTGCAACCGCTGGAAATTTTCATCCAAAAGAGCGCCCTCAGGCTGGGAGAGGCCAATACGTGGATGGCAATCAATCTCGGACATGCAACAATGAATGAATGAAATAAAAAGAGGCCTGCTCAATGGAGAATACGGAGCCGGTGTCCACTCGAAAGACCTGCAGATGAACCGGTGCATTCGTCCACCGAATAATTGCAGTGTCTTCCAAGCCGAGATCTACGCTATAGAGAGTTTCAGAAGACAAACCACTATCTCTGTCAACAGTCAAGCAGCACTCGGGAATTGTATAGAAATTACGTATCACGCTGCCGCCACCGAGCCGTATCAACTTCACTCTATGCTGGGCGCCAGGACATAGCAATATTGAAGGGAATGAGTCGGTTGATGAGGTGGCCAATTGCGGCTCAAAGAAGCCAATAGAAGAAGTGGATAGCTTCGTACTACCAACGTTTGGTGATCACGTTAGGAAAATTGACCGCCACTAATGACTTGTGGAACAAACGGGATGACTTTGAGATTACAAGATTATTATGGCCGCAACCTAGTGGGAAAAAACGAAGGACATACTGTAAGTATGCAAGTAAGTAAGAGTTCTTGACGTCCTCATCAACAGTGGCGAATGCCAAAAATCACTCTGTAAAGAAGCTTCCTTGATTAGGTTGAGGAAGAGTCAATTGATCACTTTCTGTTTCGATGTCCAGGTCTACAGACGAAGCGCCCCCAGCACTAGGGGTTCACGCTTCCTCTCAACAGTCTGGGAGGTGGAACTGTTGGATATCCTCGGCATCATTAGGGATTGGTTTAGTAAAATAATGACTTGAAGCTACTCTTTCGATTATGCGTACGCGTTTCCTCCTGTTGACACTCACTTGTGGAGGGCACCCACAATGGACAATTCTGTATCCGAGTGAAAGTATGGAATATACCACACACGCCCTCTTAACCTAACCTAACCTTTTGTTGTTTTCTTATCGACTGAGTAATTCGCCTAAATGTTTTTTTTCCAATAAAATAAAAATAAATTTATTAATGAAAAAAAAAATTATTTTTTTTTATCGGAAAGGTGGTCGGATGGGCGGCCCGATACTATTTGGTTTAGTTCCGATCGTTGGATCATGAAGAAATTGAGGGTACTCTTAAAGTTTTATATGAGCATTGAAATCAGTTGTATATTTTGCTTAAAAATTAGTTGTTTCTTTTTGGTTAATGTTAGTTTTCACTCACAAATGCATGCACAGAACGCGGTGTGCATGATTTTGACATGACATGAATCGGCGCATTTCCGAAACACACAGTGATTGCCATATATGCGAGTGTTACGCCCACATCGTCGGAAAAACACGTACACAAAAGAATAACAATTGACTAAAAGCAACAACAAGTGTATCACATGACAAACTTTGGGTTGGTGCACACAGTCTTATTCTAATTATTTTGTATACATTTGTGTTTTTTTTTGTTTTTGCCACAAATCGACTACACGTCAATTTAACACACGTCACTCGCATATCAAAAGTTATATGTTACACTTAACTGCAATGACCCAAAAAACGCAAACAACAACAAAATTCAAGAAAACAAATTAACAGCTATAAATAAAAGGTATAAGTAACAATGGTTGTGTGTTTTACATTTGCACGTTTTGCTGTGCATTGCCATTGACCTGCGCTCAGAATTTTTGATATTTTACTTTTTCAAATAAATATTGGAATTTATGTTCCAATGTACATATATGTATGAGTGTGTATGTATGTGTAACTCATTAGCATCACAAAACATATTTGCAATACAGTTGCATTCGAAAAATATGCAGGAAGAAATAACCACTTTAACATTTGTCAAGAAAAGCATGTGTAATAAATTTGGTAGCGTGATAAGGGCATTAAAAAATTATGCAAAAGGTAAGAATATTTGCAAGCTTATCGTCATCATAACTCAAAGCAGCACACCCTAATGCGTTGTTTGGAGCTTAACTTCTCGCTTTCTTAGGGGGACACTGAAATGGTTTGGGTCTTGAACCTACAACAAACCTTATTCTACGTTTCTTACATGAGGCTTGGTCTGATACCATACAACTTTTACCAATTTTTTCTCTCCTTTGCAAAGTTACGGCGGACATAGGTAGGATCTCCTATTGTATATCAGATCGTAAGATTGTCGATGGAAACGCAACAGTGGATGAGATTTCCAAAAGCGCTGTTTACTTGTAAATTGAGCATATAAACGCTTAAAGGCCTGTCGAATGAGATCAAGTGTAAAGACAACTATATGTATATATATAGTTTCGAGATTCGACAGTTTAACCAACTGTGACATTTCGATAGTCATAAAGCTCTCCAAAATGTGCTTATGGCAACAAATTTACCAAACCTAACCTAACCTCACTAAATATCGTCGTTCCAAGCATAAAATTTCAATAAATAGATAAATTAAATAAAAAATCTATGAAAATTAAAAAATTTGCAATGAAAATTATACGTCTTTTGCAACGAGATGTTTTACGAACCCAAGGCCATAAGGCAAGAACTTAATCTATTTTAGTTTCAATTTGTTTCAAATATACAGACTAATTATACGAAATAATTATGTAAAAAATTATACCGGTAATTACAAATTTGCTGGGATCGAGATATTTAGAAAATTCGTGTTTACAACCCGATTTAGTTTAAATTTGCGAAATACATTTATGTACATTTTTATCATAGAAATATTTACAGATCATATATTTACTTTGCTACAAAAACTGATTTATTGTAATTTGTTTCTCATACGATTGCCTTTTCCGACAAAGAGTCAATTTCGAGTTGGTACACGCCGGAAAACCGTTCCGATAGGTGGCGCTGGAGATATTTAAAGATATCTAGTGCCGCTTACTCAATTGATGGTTAAAACTAACTGCAGTTTAAACATCGCTATCGACTGCACAACATAGAACAGAGAGTCGATAACGCTGTGTAAACTGTAGTTAGTGTTAAGCAGACATTGAGTAACGGGCCCGTAATAATAAATAAATAATCTTAAATTTTAAGAAAATGCAATTGCTTGGTTTTTATTCATAGGGCCCAATTTTTTTCAAGTAAATTTAGGGGAAAGGTGTGAAATTTTAAGAAAAAGCAATTGTTGAGATTTTTTGTATAAGGCTCACTGTTGATATGCTCTAAGGTTAGGGCGTCTAAAAAGTTGCGACTGGTAGACAATTAGTACTTGTTCGTTCAGACCGACGACCTTTTGCGACAGAACACAGCCTCTTGTATTCTAATTAAGTTAATGTGGAGAAGCGAAAGAGTGGCGAAATGGTTTAGGCGGTTACAGCGCCAATAAAGACGACGCAGAAGAAGTAATAAAAAATCATTCTCGCTGTATTTTCTTGATATCGACCGCTGAGTGGAAGATCGACCTATCTCGGTAGCCAGTTCGAAAACGCCCTATCTCAAAAAACTTTCCAAGAACGCCCTATTTCAGAATTTTTTTTAAACACACCCTATCTCGGAATATGGTTGAAGAGCGCCCTTTGTCGGAATTCGGTAACAAAAAGCCCTACCTTACTTCAAAATGTATTGAAAATGTGCTGATACAGGGCGTTTTTGAATCGGCAGCTGAGATAGGGCGTTGTTGAAACGAATTTTGAAATAGCGCGTTATTCAACCAAATTATGAAATAACGCGTTCTTGAAAAGTTTTTTTGAGAGAGGGCGTTTTCGAACTGGCTGCCGAGATAGGTCCATCTTCCACTCAGCAGTCGCTATAGGCTTTCTTAGAGGAATTTTTAAAGGAATAGCTTTCAAATAATGGTGTGTGAAATCTTTATTCTCGCTATTGTTACTTCACCTGGTATAATTTCACCACGAAAAAAATTTTTTTCGCTTGATAAAGTACTTTGCCGTTGATGTACATTTTTTTTTTAAAGAAAAAATATTCGCGCATTTTTTTTTGGCTTTCAACTGATTAAGCAAGCAAACAGGATGAACCAATTTTTTCTTTTTCAATTCTTGCGCGTTTTTATGTGAATTTTTCGTTTTCTTGCGAGCTGCCTACTATTCTTAGAGAGCAGATTTAACTCCGCCTTTGTATCAAACGGCGAGCCATTTGATTACTCTTGGGATCGTAAAAAATAATTTATTAATTTCTACAATATTTTTTTACAAATATTTCGCATTTCTTTTCCAACTCACATTAAAAAAAAAAAACATGTTACGATGTATAAAATCATAAACATATAAATATACATACATCATATCGCTACCTAAAGGTAAAAAGGTGCCAAGACCACTTTTTTCAAAATTTAGTTTTAGATGCAGAATGACAGCCAATGCCAAACTACATCGATTTTTCGTCTCTCCTGAATAATTTAGAAAAAATCGACTTGGCGCCTTTTTACCTTTAGGTAGCGATATATGTATGGTATGTGTAGTAAGTATCTATGTAATATACATTTACTATCTCTGCATGCAATTTTTTTCATACTTCCTTATTGGTACTTACGAATTTCATATTTGCTGTGTTTTGCTGTTACAAATTTGTGCGAATCCGCGGAGATTGTTGCAAATAAGTGTTTTGAAAATTGCACACTAAAAATGCACAAATCACAAAATAATAGCAACAATAAAACAAAAACTCTTTCCCAAAAGCCCCTGCTACAACAACAACAACTGAAACACTTAAATGCACGTTTTATGCAAATTAGAAACACTTTTTTATTAACACCACAAATTTCTTTGCTATTTGCTGCGAATTATATTTTAGCTCGAATTTTCGCTTTCCACAGCCAAGTTGCACTTTTGAAAAAAATCAAAAAACAAAATGAAGAATATAGCAATATTTTTCCGTTTTTTTCGTATTTGGTTTGGTGGTTTTACGTTTCTTTTATAAATATTATTTTTTTTTTTTTCTTTTTTTAAGCTAACCGCGCGGTGCCTTTTTATCTTTAGCAATCACAATTGGCTTTGCAACTCCTTCAATTCGATTCGTACTTTGGACAAATTTCGATATTTTTGTGTGTTCACTGGGGCGGACGTGCGGTTTTGGTCAGGCGTTCAAACGGTCTGGGCGCTGGGGTATGTTTGTACAGGTAGTCGTCGCGATGTTGGTTGTTTATTTGGTTTGTTGGCTGTCGGTCGGTTGGCTGTGTGTGCTACTGAGGTATTAAGAGACTTGAGGTAAGGCACTTAATGAATTCCAGTGGTTATGCTTAGTTGGTTTTATATTAAACACGAAACACTAAATTTGGCCTGCGTTTCACTCTCGATTTGGAGCATAAATGGCAGCAAAGCGACTCCACTCATTGACGGCGAGAGTGAACGCGAGCATGCATTGCGGCGCGCAACTCAATGAGTGCACGAGTGAATGAGTGAAATTTCCACCGCATGGCATTCTAGGGCTACGTGTTTTCGACTTGCAGTTTTGAGTGCTGGAAAGGTTTTGAGCGCATTTGTTTAATCGTTCGGTTTGTTTTTTCTCCGTCAAGCTTATTTTTTTTATTTTTATTCAGTTTAATGCTCGTTGCTTGCATGCGATAGCTGCCGCACAAGCGTGATAAGCACTCGATTCTGATGTGTCAAGAAATTTCGTTGAATGCATTCTTTTCCTCAATTTATTCTCGTAAAAACAACGACTTTCACTTGCGTTAAGGGTCATTTATCAATACGCGCGGATGTATGTATGCACATTAGACCGTATCACGGAAAAAAAGTTCGCGTACACAACTGAGTCTAAAGTATTTTTGGAAGACAATTTCGAATATATATATATATATATATATTTTTTCGCCAACGTTGGGGTAAGGAAGACAATCGTTTGGCTATAATTTTAAACTGCAATAAAATTAAAAGGTTACAGTGGAATGTAGGGGATGGCGGGGTTGGCTGGGCATGATTAATGTTAAGATTTATATCAAAATTAATTGACTAAAATTTACATTAAGCTTAAGATTTCGATTGAGATTCATACTGAGGTGGGGCTAAGATTGAGATTGGAATTGGGATTAGGATTAATATTGAGATTAAGATTAAGAATCAAATTAAGATTAGGGTTAAGATTAAGATTAAGAATCCAACTAAGATGACGATTAAGATTGAAATTTAGATTAAGATTAAGATCAAAATTAAATTTAAGATTAAGATTAAGATCAAGATTAAAATTATGAACTAAGATTCTTATGTGTAAAAATACCCATATAATATGTATGCAAAATGTAAAAAGACCATCAAAATTTTGGTTTTTTAAAGTGCCTTGAAAAATACTTTAGACTTAGGAGTGTATGGCGAGCTTTTTATTGTGTTGGTGCTTGTAAGGTGTTACGGTCTAATGTACATACATACATATAAAATACAAACATACTACATACAAACATTGCTACCGTTTCTGACTTTCTGGTGCAGGCGATGCGTTCAATGAATCACTAGTAGTTTGCAATTAATGTAATTAAGCTGAAAACACAATTTATAATGACGTATCATTTAGTCACGGAGTCACACAATAAAAAAAAACAAAAAACATCTTATGACACTTCAACACGTTTTTAAGAGTTTAAGGAAATGCATCTAACTTAAATATTGTACTCGTATTACACAATTCCAGAAAAATTAATATTTATTAAAATTAAAAAATATTTTTGCTGACCTTTAAACACATTACTTTTTAGTTATTCACATCTAATTGAATTATTGTAGTAATATTTTCCTAGGAGGCAGCGTAAAAGTGTTGGCTCTACCAGTTGTATGAAAACATAAAGACGCGCACCTTTGTCGGAGGAGAAGCTCTGTTAATAAACTCTTAGCTTCTTCTTTTTATTTGGCACTATGACCATTTGTCGGCTTGGGACGAGACAAAGAACACTTCGCCAATTTTTTCTGTTTTGCAAAGTTCTGTCAATTGTTCACACCAGATGGTAATATGACTAGGAAAGAATGTTACTCATACGCCATGTACTATGAATTATTTGTAATGTCATAGAAACAAATTATTGGGCATTTTAGTTTGACCCTTGATATTTTTGTAAAAGAAAAGGCTTTAAGAATTTATAAAAGAATCTTTTATTTTAAAATTTTTTCTTTGTTAAAATCTTTTTAATCACAATGCAAATTTAAAATGAAAATATAATGCGAAAATTACCTGATCTAGAACACGGTATACAAATGATCTCCAAAGGGATGAGGTTTTCAATTTTTTCCTTTTTTGACCGAAAAAATGTTATGCAGTACAGTTTTTAATATTTTTTAACCACATATTATTGTAGTTCTTGCGTAAAGGAATCCATTTCCATGGTCGCAGGAACGGAAAAAGGCATTTAAATTGTTTTTTATGACTCATAACATGCTTTTTTTAGGTAAAAAAAGACAAAAAAATTAAATTTCTACATTTGAAGGTCAAAGTGATTTTTTATTCAATGTGACCTTCAGAAGTAAAATTTTTTATTTTTTATATTTTTTTGACCTAAACAAGGATGTAGTATCTAAAGAACTCTTAAATTCTCTTTAATCTTTTTTCGGTTGCTGCGACTATGAAAATGGATTCCTTTACGCAAGAAGATCAAAAATGTGTATTTAAAACTTTTTAAAAAGTTCACTTCATACTATTTTCAAATCAAAAAAGGAAACAAATTGAAAAGTCCCTTATTTTGAAGGTCATTTGAAAGGTCAAGGTAATTTTTTTATCCAACGAAACTATTTTTCCTGAATTCTCCATCTTAAGCCTTAAACGCTTTTGAGTTTTTTCGCTAGCGGTTCTCATTCTAGAGATATTAGAATTTGTCATGTAAAAAGTTCAATTTTCACACTGTGTAATTTAAGGTTCGATAAATTGGCAGTTGTCTCTCTCCCACCGCTCCCTTAGCACCGAAACTGTATTGCTACTTTGCAAATTTACTTGGAAAATAGTACCTTACTTCTAAAAGAGTAGTATTAGTTTTCGTATAATGTATTTATTTTTATAAATATATAAATCACATTTAACTGAGTGGAATATAAAAAACTTCAAAATATGATATTTACATTAAACTCGTAACCAGTGCACGGACTTCGAGAAAATTAATATTGGTAGATTTTACTTACAAAAAATAGTAGAAATTTGTAGCTTTTTTAAAAGAGACAATATCAGCTAGTTGTTCCTCATTACGCTAAAACATTGCGAATTCATAAAAGACTGTGTTACCTACCTGAGCAGATGGATTTTGGACTCGGTGGTTCTTAATGTCAAAGTGATTCTGTAATTCCTACGGGCATTGTGCGTAAAATTTTCAGTGTATGCAAGTGGTTAACTCATTCCATCTAGCCCTGAACTGCCTAATAATATTATCGTCTATGCTGTTGTATAAGTGTTGAAGTGGTCGATGAATGTAGTTTGTCTGTTCGAGAGTCAGACTCGTGGTGTTCTGGGCAGTCTCATTTGCTAATTCATTCTGTCGACGGTTAGCCATTTAATGGTTTCGTGGCTTCGAAGGTCGTTTATGAATGAAATTCTATATGAAGTAACTTGCCTTAATTGCGGCCTGACTATCTATGTAGAGGGTTTACTTTTCAGTTGTTTGTCGTGGCCACTACTGCCTGTGCTTCTCGCTCCACTTGAGCTATGCCCAAAGGTTCTTACGGATTTAGCAGCACGGTTTTTTGCAAATAGGTCAATTGGCGGTAAATTGAGGATTATTTCAAAAGCAACCGTTGGAGTGGACCTCAGTGCTCCCGTGAGGCGTTGAACCTACAGGACCACCTGAGGTATGACGACTATTTTGCGGCTTTCCACCTTTACCAAAGCGCCATAAAAAAGTATTGGTCTGACTATTTATACCGCTAACTACACACAACAGGCAGCTACAGTTGGATTTCACAAGAGGAAGTTACCATACGGAGTGCTGTAAAATATAAAATGTATTTTTCAGCTCTTCCGACTATGAAAATGTATTCTATGACGCAAGAACAGCAAACACTTTTTTTTTAAATTCATTGGATACTGTTCAGGTCAAAAAAAAAATTACAAACCTCTAATTTTGAAGGTATGTAATTTAAAGATTAAGGTATGTTTTTATATCCAATCATACAGTATTATTTGAAATCTGAATTTTAAAATTTAAACAATTTTCAGTGACCTTTTTGCTTGTAATCGAACAATCCCTTTTCAACCCCGCCAGCAAAATCATCGTAAACGAACTTGAAAAAACTGGATATTTTCTCAAAGAAAACCCGGCTAAAATGTCGTTTATGATAGTTGTTTATGATTCGGTTTCGAGTACTTTTTCACTTGAAATCGTCGTTCACCTACGAACAGTCGCAAACGGATCGAAAAAGCATTCGTATGCAAATATTATATATTATAAAATATTGTGGTTCAAGAAAAATTTCCAACAGAATGAAAATTTTTTCTTGTGCCTCTTTCTTTTATTTTTATGTAATTGTTATAGCCTGAAGACAATCCCCGGAGGAGATTGAAATATATTGAGAAAATAATATACTTTCATGCGTTTCCAATAAGATAAATACCTGACCTGAAGCCGGCATTAAAAAAGGACTGTTTGGTTGTTTTATTTCGCCTATTCATCCTTTATTAATATTTAAAAAGATTAATTTGACGGACCGATTAAATTTCGCACCAAATCAGCAAAGAAGCCAGTTTTTCACACAATATTTTAAAACAAAAAGTATCCATAAAAAAATGAGTTACATTGGCCGATTTAAATAAGTAATATGTATAAAAAGAAACCCCGGCATTTTTGGTAAAATTTTCAAACGCGAAAATTTAAAAATTTCCCTGAAACCAGAAGAAGACTGTGGGGTCTCTGAAATCAGCGTACTCGAATTATTAGCCTATTCTTGTACTCAGAGTTTTTAAGGTTTTACAGAGAAGCTGTACACCACGCCACATTAAGCTTATAAAAGGCGCAAACAGCTTTTTTTGTAAATTCTGTACAACCGGCAAATCCTGGAGTACGGAAATAGGCTGTATAAATATTTACCACTTATGACCCATAAATGTTCAAACTTTCGGCTATAATGGCAAATATATTTCTGCCAGGAAAAAGCTTCTCAGAAAACCGTTTGCCATTCGGTGCTATCGTAAAACTGTAGGCGCACTACGCAAATTTGATTTTATTACTAAAAAAATGTACTACTTTAATTTCTAAAATGCAAGCTAGAGTGTAAATAAGATCAAGGTTATATACTGCAAAATTGTACTACTTTCATTCAAAGCGCTCTCGAGAATTATTAAAAAATCGCAACCATGT